GCTCGCGACTCCGTCGAGCGATGGGTAGCAAACTTCGGCTGCCCTTCAACCATCACCACAGACCGTGGACGTCTGTTTGAATCTGAACTTTTCCGTCGTCTGACCACACTTTTAGGAATCAATCGCTTCCGAACGACCGCCTACCATCCACAAGCAAACGGGTTGGTAGAACGTTTTCACCGACAACTAAAAGCTTCACTATCAGCTGCAAACGTTTCACGGTGGACCGACTCTCTTCCACTTGTCTTATTAGGTATTCGCAATGCAGTGAAAGCTGACATTGGATACACTGCGTCTCAACTCGTTTATGGAACGACACTTCGACTTCCAGGAGAATTCGTGGATCCTTCATCCTCTTCAATGAACATGGATCTAACCTCCTACACGAACAGGCTTACAAACGCAATGCGTTCAGTTAAACCTGCTTCCACTCGACCCCAATCAACTGATGTTTTCGTTCAACCTGACTTACGATATAGTACACACGTTTTCGTTCGTCGAGACTCGCATCGACGACCATTCGAATCAGCATACGAAGGACCTTTCAAAGTTCTTCAACGTGAATCTAAGTACTATATTGTCGATAAGAACGGAACAAACGATAGCATCAGCATCGATCGCTTAAAAGCAGCGTATTTAGAAGGAAATCCCATTCACGTCGACTTTCCTTCGGTACAATCGCACAACACGACTCCTACACTCATAATTCCTCAACCGACAACCAACACTAGCGATGATACTCCGAATGTATCTGAAAATAAACTTAAGACGACGCGTTCTGGAAGAAGAGTAAGATTTCCAGAACACTTAAACGACTACTGCACGTAAGGCACTACTCGATATTTTATATTATCTCGATCTTTCTTTTAACGATATAAAATATTTAAAAAAACAATTTTAATATTCCTATATATTTATATTTTTATTAAAAAAAACAAAACATAAAAAAACATTTTTTTAACGCTATTACGTGTGCTTGAGTATATTTTCCATTTTTTCGCCGACATTGTGTTTTTTTACGCACATAAGAGTGTATTTCGACATGCACTTACACTTTCTTTTTTCTTTTCCAGGACGGCTGGAAAAGAACAATGCAGTTTACGAGGAGTCGAAATTTTCGTTGTAACTTTTTCTTTTTTTACTATTTTGTACCTCGGTCCCATAAATTGAGGAAAGACGACCAGACGCTGCTACACTTAGTAAGCTATCAGAAGAGTGTTTACCAACGACAAACTCGTTGGGTTTAAACTTCTGGCTGGCCACGTCTTAGGGTCGTCACTGCCTCACTAGGGGGGGAGTGATCTGTAATGGTAAATAAATCCCCAAAATAAATAGCTCTGTAAGTTTTAGAAATTGGATGCTGACCATATGTTTTAGTGGACTCATCTAGCTGAAGGCGCTCGGTCATGCATCCGCACCAGATCACGTGTGGTAACGCCGTGTTCAACATCAACCGCAATCGCTAGCCAGATTAGATCAGAGAATTCCGATATATTGGTCATCGCCAAATATACTCTTCCGATCTCCTCGACTCTGTCTTTTGATTTCTCTGGGTGGGAACGAAATATATTATAAGGTGTTACTGGTAGAAGCGTTGTCAAACACTGAATACCTGTGACATCATCAGGTGCATTCTGTTAGCTGCTATTTCATTTACTTATTGGATTAGATACAGATAACGAGGTTTGATCGTCTATTTGACGATTGATTTGTTGTTTTTCAGAATTGCATTAAGCTGAGAAGGTCTTTGTACGTCTTCTGATATGTAAATTATGGCTTCTGTCAACTAATTGAAAAGCTCAAACCTTTCTAATAGTCAAGTCTATGCTGGTGAACAACTTGGCGAATTTCAGAATATGGAAGATTATATGAAGAAACAAATTACAATTTGACGATAATTTTTTTTATATAGACTACCGCCAAATTTGTTCATCTGATGAATTATTTAGACTTATATAAAACAAGCGTACTCACTCTTTCACATTATAAATCTCGTTATTATGTAGAATTATAATCTAGTTTGGTATTAACACTAACTCGATAAAAGATCTAGTCCCAAGACGGTGAAACTTATGTATACAACGCAACATTTCGGCGAAACTTCTAAACTGATTCTGTACTACAAGTTTTCTCAACGAAATGGGTACTTATAAAGTAAACATTAAGTTGGTTTTAATTTCCATCAACAGTTATCCGTTAAGATTGTCGGTATGCCTCCTCATAAAACTACGAATTAAACGAAAATAAAGATTGCGCAAAAGTTTATTGATGCATTATTACCACTGGTAAAGAAAGAATAACATCAGATGCAGAAAGACAACTTTACAAGTTATATATACACTGAAGTCGAAAACACAACGATGACGCTTTTATAGTAAACAGTACATGTCACGTCTCCACACTTAGTTTTATTCCGAACCGTATCTTTTATTGTAAAGAATAGTGCACAAAGATAAGTGTTTGGGAAACTGAAGTCTTACTTAGTAATTGGTGATGCTGAAGTAAAAATTGTCGACTTTTCTCTCCACCATTATCACAAGGTGTTCACCATATTTCTCAATAATCTGTTGTTTGTGCATCTTATGGCTTCGATGAGTCTGTATGTACTGTTCGCTCTGTCTGGGTAATGATATTGTCGTGTAATTATGGAAGTTATGTGCATTATCTATCATTCATCATCTGCATTTTCTAAGAATATGATGGGTTGTACAGTTTATGTCTCGTAACTGATTAAGCGTACTTGTAAGAGTTCGTCTTCTTACGTATGCCAGCAGAATATGACGGCAAGAATATCGGCATTTTATAAATGTTCGACGCAAGCACTCACAAGCGCTTGCATCCACTTCATAATGCTTGCCGCAGTCAATCATGAACAAACAGTCATCATTTTCGTATTCAATGTAAAGGAAACGCATCTTTTCCAACAAAGCCTTTAACCGCGCAAACAGAGTAAGTGGGTTAGTCAACGGAAGTAGTCGTCGCGGGGCATCGTGCTTATAGCATCTACCGGTTATTATCGTTTCTTCAGCAGTTCTCCAAATCCACTCTCTGAATACTCTCTCAGTTCACCGTTTGGCCGCAATTTATCAAATACTTGCAGTGGCGTATAACAACCTGAAATATACTTCTATACACTTACCCGTGATGAGTTGAGCTTATATAGTCTTCGCATCAGCAGCTGTGACCTGCTTACCAGTTCGATCCTTAATACTTTCTATGAATTCATCAGTTTATACTGATTGCATTATCACCAGCTTCAAACTTTCTTTTTCATCTGAGGATCACAAATCACCTATGAACTAATACAAGGATGATTGTGAAGCATGTTGTATGATATTATGATATTCCTCACCGTCCAATTTTACACGGAACCTTGATTGGCAGTTTAGAAACTTAGACCTTAAACGTCATATGTTAGTTAAAGTTCTTACGGATTTGATTCATTGTTAGACCTTTTGGCTTACGTCTATGACCAAATGTGTGATGATACACTACAAACATGTATTTAAATCTCATGTCCTTCACCACTTTACTTTCACTGTGAATGTAATTAGTATGGGTAGTCCGAGAAGGGATAGAATTATTCTTCCATACTTTTTGGAATTCCTTTACAACACTATCAAATTCAATCCACCTTCCGAAACGCCTGTTCACCAATATACATTGAAATGCCTCACTTAAGTCTCTTGAATATGAAACACTGCAAGCAGCACTTATTAATTATCAAAAATAGTTATTCTTTGAAATAATACTTTAATAACTGAAGAAAGTACTACAAACAATGAATACGTACAGGTCACTTGACATTTCGTCTTATATCTTGAGTAAAATACCGATTCACACAAACTTCGTATATATATAACTTTTTAGTTATTCTCAATACGCTGTTCTATGGACCACACCAAATTTTAAGCAAGGATAGTGAGATTCATTGGAGAAATCGCTATCCCAGGTCAAGATACGAGACAGAATTTTCAGAAGACTGCTGAAAATAAATCAATCTTTGACTAGTTTAAAGCTGAAAAGGCGGCTTGAATATAGTTGGAGATTCGTAACAACAGAGTTATATGTTTAATGTAGTTGTGAATTCCAGTATAAGCAAATAAAATTCATTGATATGGGACTTTTGTATTAAATGTTTCCGAGCCTTTGTAACATCAAATTAGACAACTTTGGTTACTTGAGAGTAACATTTCTAGTGACTGGTACGTTTTTGAAATGTGCTATGTTTTCAGCTCAACAGAGTTTGCCTCAATAAATTGGAGCCGAAGAACTATATGGGGTTAATTTTCAGGGTGGTCGCATAGGCCGATTTACAGCAATTAAAACTAAAGAAATGGGAACTAGAAAATCACTGAAATTTCATGTTTCATTCAATTGATGAAAATGAAAGTAAGGTATTTGACACATACAATAAGTGAATAAAATACTCACTACGACCTATCTGGATGTCGTAGAAAATAGAAATTCCAAGTAAGCAAATTAGAAGAGGTTTACTGTCCACCAATAGTGACCACCATCTTCAAAACGTATTGAGTACGAATTTAGATACTTCATATTACGCACTTAGATTTTACCCCAAAGGTTAGAAAAACCGAATTTAACATTTTGCACGTCATTTAAATAATGCAAACTGATTTATCAAAGTCACCTAGTTCAAAGCAAATTGGATGCCCATACTAATATGTATTTTGTCAATGACAGATTCTTAGAATAAACTGGTATTTCCAACAGTCAGTCAGAATGTCTAACATTTGTACATTGAAAGTTATCACAACACATCTAGACCCATGCGATAATTATTCATGATGCTCGCTGAGTAAAGCAGTGCCTGTTTAATAAAATTCTATGATGCAGTCCAATAAAGCTCTTCAGTATTGAAGATCATGTTCTTCATATCATCACTTATACTTTTAATACACCAAATATATTTCCTCGGCAGCAAAGTAAAAATTCGAATTTCGCCGTATTTGGTCGGCCATTTTTGTTTTTTCAGTCTTATGGTGAGTTGGGGTTGCATAAGTGTCTCTTACAGACGTGTTTCCTTTATTTATAACTTATTTTTATCGGTTTTTCGCCGCACTTACTGCTTATATCCTTGAAGGCTACGCCCTTCAGAAGACCTTCGAAGGTCATTTTGGAAGGTCGCTTGGGTTGACGTCCTTGTGGCTGATAGCTATGTCAAAATTCCTGTTTTTACGATTGTACATGTCAACTAAACAGCATCTACTTATTCTCCCCCATTCAATGAAGGGTCTTATGTAACTTTCTGTTCCTAGTTAAATGAAGGAATGGCAGCGTCTGAAGTCACGAGTCCAACAGATATTCAAGATGATTTAAAGAATGAAAGCTTGGAGGCTACTGTATCTCTGGATAAACTCATAATGGGAGGTGCACCAAAGTCATCGGGATCAGTGTCTACTAGTGATGATCATGTGCCTGCCACAACTTACGTTACAATCCATCTCCCGGACGGAACCCAAGGATCAACTCTGAGTCAACAAAAATTGCAGGAACTTATCATGCACTTGTCCCAGTCTGGTCAGATTCAACTACGAGAAGATAGCAAGATTGTGATAGATGTAAGTTAGCTCATCATGATGAGCTATTACTGCTAATTAATGCCGTAATTTCTATATTCCTCGTCGGTCATCCACTTAAACTTGCAGTGACTTCATAATAACACTATTATCTGTAGTTATACGTAATCATTATGCATCTGAATATAACTGCCAGTCCTATTTGCGTAGTCTTTCTACCTGCCTGTGATTATTTTTGGTATAATTTAAAATTCTAAAGCCATAGCCCGCTATGCTATTTTTCTTCATGAACTCCAGTCGTATTACTCGCTGACATTCTTGGCTCCCGTAAGTTGGTAAGGTATGCTAGGCCTTACAAAATCTTAAGTCCAACGTTTTTCAGAGTTTTCCCATATAGATTATGACGATTTGCAATTAAAACAGATACTATTGTTAGATACTAGAACAGACTCAGATCTGCACCAAACGGCTAGGTCATTCATGGTTTTACTTAAGCTAAGTTCCCCAGTACATCATTGTCTTTGGCTTGGAGCAGTAAAGTATTGTTAAGACGAGCTATCAAGTGACGGTAGGTCACCATGAAGACATCTTACTTATTTGGTTAACTGACCACGAAATATGGTTCAATCAGACTCTGAAACGAATGAATCATTACTGCGGTTTTTAATATAATGATGATATTTAGAGCACCTCAGTGACTGAACTAGCAATATTGGGTGTACTTTGTAACAGTAGGTGGAGTAAAATGGACGTATGTGTACTGACCCCAACTCACGATCAAAGCATATTATAATTTGGATATCAGAATTTCGGAAGTGATCAAATTTCCTTCGTATTAAGTATCGCTCAATTTAAGTTGGAAGTCATTTATTGGCAACGTTGACAGCTCCTGTGATGCATGTTAAAGCATGATATTTTGTAATGCATCCTGAAATTAAGTTACTGAGTTATTTGTGTTTATAAAATAGTTGAAGCAATGAATATGTGAGGATCTGTACTGAATAATGAAAATTGACTATTCGATGAATGACTGTAAAGTGTTGGTCTTGCTGTTTAATTTTTCCTACTTGGTCTTATCGTAATTAACTTAATGATGTTTTCTAATGACTTTATTTCCGGCGAATCCAGCTTAAATTCAGCGGTAAGTCGGGTGACCAAGGGGTTCAAACAAAATTGGAAAATTCTTCGCTCCAACACTCTGCCGTATCTAGTGGTACGGCATCCCAAATACAAACCATAGCTTCCAGCATCCCTCATCGTGTTTTACAGGTTGGCAGCGTAAGTTTGATAACAAAATAGTTTAAGTATTAGCTATAATTTTGCCAAAGTTTAGTACTTGTTTGTTTAGTCTATGGTTAAATAATCACGATACTCGTGTAACATATTTCAGAGTTATCTGTACTTATTAGTGGTAAACGCCACTTTTGTGGTAAAATTATTGGAACAACTTCAATGGTGTTTGGTCTACTCATCCTAAACTTTTATAAAACGTTTTTAAATATCTGCTAGTAGGATAGACTTCTCTTTTTTGTGCGCACCATAATCATATTTGTAGCAGTATGACTGGCGTCATAAATGTGTCTAATTATCAACCTGAAGTGTGTTATATTTTCATTGTGTAACTGGGTACACGGTTTGCAGTTAGGTGATAAGATCTTTCTCTTTAATGTTAGAATTCGCTTGCTTTCCGTATCGTCTACATAAAACTATAGATCCCGTTGTGCTGTAAAGTTAATTGCAAAGACCGAACGAAAGTTCGGACTTTAATTGTGAGCCTCCTTTGACCGACCAGTTTTCATATGTTACATAAGTTTCTCCAGGCACCATCATAATATTTACAGTAAACATTGGCCCACTTATTTTCGAGATCGGGACGTTTTCTGGCTAAACAGTGGTTATTCTACAGTTTCTGAATTGAGATCTTAAAACTATATGGCTTTTCAGGTGGGAAGATAGTTATTTCCCCATCAGTATGAATATCGTTACTTTCATCTCCTATTCTTGTCAATTTCCCCAGTGTATCCATATAGAGCGTAGCATGTTGGAATGATACACCCTAAAGTCGGATTTAAAGTTTTTCTCCGTCTTTGATCAATCAAATTGTAGTAGATATTATCTGTCCCTTTATATCAGCCCAGTTCTCTAGTTCGTGTTTTTTTTTAATCCTAAACTTCACTACTATCTTTTCCATCTATTAATTTCTTTCTTACGTACCTTCATGGCTGATGTTGTTTGATAAATAAAAGTATTCTATCTTCGACTAACATGTAATTATCCGATTCCCAGTATGGAATGGACTGTTTATCATCATTATTTAGTCGTTCTAACTGCATATCCCCACACCGAGTGTTACTTATTAGAATAACCGAGATATCAGGTGAAGAAAAGAACGTCACCATATTTGTCTTTATTGTCCTTTATCCCAATGAATAAGTAAAAGCAGGAATTCTTGTGTGATAAACAAAACGTCTGAGGTAGTAATGGGTTGGTAGAAAGTTAGGGGTGGACAATCCAAAACGTGACGTTAGTCCATGAAACCTTTGGTTGTTGGATTGATCCATGTAAGTAGGTTCAGACTTCCTATTCGGGTTGGGTGCGATTATCGTAACCAATGACTAGAGACTATATGTAACGTCTCATAACCGGTCACAATGGTATAGATCCATTCACTTTTTGCTGTTCCCTAGACCTTAAGTTTTAAAATCATTTACTCTCTATTCCATGGGTAATGTCTTCGTCTCGGTCAAATTTTCTGTGCCTTATTTTTAACGACATATAGTACCACTATTTCTGCTACTTTAGTATCAATCTTTTTGACTTTACCTCATTGTATTGATGTATTTTGGCGACCTGAACCGATTTATATGTCAAATCCTACTTTACTTGTGACTGACTAACTTGTGATGATCGTAGAAAAACTAATCTGACTAACATTTTCCAACAGATCCCATGCCTTCTACAGAACCCGGATTTTAACCAACCGCTAACTTCTCTCCGTAATCTAAAGACAACATTTCACTCGTTCAGTCAAAAAGCCCAATGGACGTTTTTGACTTTAAAGCGATGGCCAAAGAAAGTTATTGCACTAATCAGGGCACTCTATCCAAACTTGTAGTGATGTAAGTGACTATGCAGATGTATCAACAATTTAGCATCATTAGATTTCATCAAGGATATCCACTGTTACTATCCTTGGTCATATTTATCAAAACCTTACCCATGGAAGCAGTTATGTTTGTTCCAGACTTTTCAAAGACTGATTTCTAGTTGGGAAACCAACTAGCCGGTCTTAAAAATACAAGCGACACAGTTTTAATAAGCGAAAGCCTGAAAACAATTTAGAATCCTCTGAACCCTCGGGAAAAAACCAAAAAAATGTTGGATACGCCCTTCGGACTCGTCTAACGTGAGTTGGTCTTCTAAAACTGATCTGGAGCAACGACTACTATTTGAGTTTGTGAATCACTTTAACTCCCAAACACTGGATAGAAGAAATTAAAAGTAAACAAGAACACAAAATATACTATTATACAGTTATAGAGCATTCAATAGTAGATAACTGTATGAAAACATAAATAGATGGTAATCCTATATCAGAATATTGTTGGCGCTGCCGAATAGCCGATATTTTTGATCAATATTGATATTCTCTGTAAGACCCCAAAATTCACTCTGCACTAAGGACTAAAAACATGAAAGGTGCTATTCAGTAACCTATTGGTATAAATGGTTCAATTTTTTGGAGATCAATGACCTGGATGACTTGATGATAACTTATCAGTCAATCAGTCATGCACAGTGTTAAAATTTAGCACGCTTAGGCATCAGTTTAAATCGCCACGTCATATTTTCACGACAAGGTGAAATTATCCAAATAAATCTCAGTAGTAATAATAGCCGCATCAATGAGTTATGTCTAAATGAATATTTACAAAATCGTTAGGTAAAAATCGAGAAAGTGTACAGTCCTGATGAGCATCAATTGCTATTATTAATTCTAATCACAGTTTACCGTAGGCTTTAACTCCAGTAGTTTTCAAGTAAACAGCCTGTACAAAGTTTGTACACTTCGGTACAAGTTTCTTTGGTAAATTGTCATAAGCTGTCGAGTGCTGCCGGGAGGTCAAAAATAACACCACAGTCGGACGTCGGTAGGCACGTCTATGTTCTAAAACATGATGAAAGGTGAATACTTGATCTACACACGTCCAAATTTAACACCGGCCTAATTTTCCCTGGTTTGCACTTCATGCTAACATCTGTGACTGCAGCACTGGGTAAGGGATATTTGAGTATTTCTAGGAACATCCGTTTCATCAACCTAGCAGATATTACTTACCGTTGAATCCTAACCAGAGTTTTCTGTCGATCTCGTGGTCATCTAGCACAAACAAAGTACTCCGCGCTAGTTACCCTACTAATTACATCACATTTGGATCTGTAAAATTCGGTGAGACAATAAGACAACCTGATATTAGTTAATGTAAACTATTTGTTGATTTATCGCACAGCAATCGAATTGGATTTTCATGAAATTATATCACAGTTTGGTAATTTCTTTGTTATTGACAAAGGGCACTTTTAGTTTTCAGAGACCTGTCTCATCTAGTTTTGACTTGCATATTCGCATTTAAACTAACTTTTCATCACTTCTGTATTATATGAGCTAAAGTATCGCGAGACTTCGGAATTTGCCTCCATAAGTTAATAGCGTACGTCATCGCATAACGGGTTTTCGTTAAATATTTTGGTTTTATATGTAGAAACTTATAATTCTAAACCAGAAGCTAGCTTTACATGAATTATATGCTTCTTTTTTAGAATATCATTATTAAGCGATTTTCAAAATCTTGACTGCTTTAAACTGGTGTAATAATGTATATTTTTTTTAGTAATGCTAATTCGTTCAATGTGTGTATATTATTTCTGACTGCCTGCTAGATTATCGTCTCTGAGTAAAGTCAGAAAATACATTTCATTTCCCAATATCATCTGAATGATTGGTATGCTAGACAATAAAACTCCAGTGTTATTATTTCTGTCGGATAGTTCAAAATTAAATTCTCTGTTTTAGACGGTGTTCCGGAACTGCAATTTAGTCATATCAAGTTTTCAGAATACCGCATAAACAATGTCAATTAGTTGTCATCATTTCACATACCTTTTTGCTCAATATCCGAAGTATAAGATTACTACATATATCGCTTTGTACTTTACCTTCTTTTCTAGTCGGGTTCCGATGGAGTTCAAATTGTACGCACTATACCTTCTTTTGTTAGTTCTACCACTCAAATAATTTCATTTCCCACCGTTGCAACACAACAACCAGTCGCAGCCCAGTCAAGCAATCCTAGACAACAAATCCAGCAACAACCTACTTACATTCTAGTCCCAGCAGCTCAGCTAGCAGGTGGTGGAGAGAATCAGGTGTTTGCAAGCACACCTATACGTGCTGTTACAGCAGGTAGGCGAAAATTAATTTTAAATTGATTCGCATTCGCATATATTATGTTTGCACGAGATGCCTTTTTTAATTTCGAGTATAATTATTCAGACATTACTTTCATCAGATACAACACTTACCTATTTTCACCAAATCTTTAACTATTCTTTTGCTATCGAATACTTGAATTAAATACCCCTTACTATTAGTATCCCTTCTGAATGGAGCATCGTTTAGCTTCTATAACTACATTTGAAGGCTTTTTGTACCATTGACTAGTATGCAATCATTTCATTGTGTTCAACTGAGATATGTTTTGTTTCGCTTGTTGTCCTGGATTAATAGATTGTATCATCGTGATAGTTTTTTTTTTAAATTTTTTGGTTGCATTAGCTAGTAGTTTACCAGTAGAATTTAAGATGCTCATTTCCTTCTATCTGAAAAATCAGTTCTATATACCTCAAATATTAGTGTTATAACTTGTGAACCTGTGTGCCCTGTTTATTGTATAACTCAACGATACCGCCAATCAGAGACCAGCGAATTATCGATCGAACTGGTGACGCATAAAACACGTGCGCGCAGCCTTAGAGTCCTTATTGGTCCTGCTTTCCGCCTAGCCCAGCCATTTGAATCCAGAACACCAATCTTAGCCTCTGCAATATGAACCATTTATTTCAAGCATACTGGGTTTATATATCAACCAGACAGACCACAACGTACCATAAAATATGAAAAAAATTGTACAAGAATTAGCCAAATGTGGCTGTGAATGAGGGAGGTAGTAATTAATAAACAAGGCATAATTCAAGAATGGTAGATCGTATAATAATAGTTCATAGGTAAAAAAAGCTCATTATGAGAGGGACATGAATATGAACAGTTTAGTTATTTGACAATTATACGATAAAAATATACTCATAGTATTGGCCCATAAATGGATCCCAAAAATTACCATTCATTATTATCGGGATATAACAGTTAGTTTCCTCACTGAGAATCGAACTTAGAATTCTCATTACCAGAGGTTACTATAATGATTGGATTAAATTGTATTTGAGTTATGTCTTAATTGAAGTCTGTAAAGTTCCAAGTCTAAGTTTGCTCCGATGGATGTGAATGATTTCCTAATTTAACCAGATGGTTCATCATGAAGTATCGCCTATCGAAGTAACCTTCATGATGTCTCAGATATTTACATCTATTATTGGTAATACACACAGAAATTTTACCAATATAATTTCATGTGGTTGGTTCCTTTTATGAATATGAATAAAGTCAAAACAACAATGGAGGTATAATAACATAAATTTTTTAGTTCCTCAGTTGCTTACAACTGTATTCGTATTAAAATACAACATTGAGATACATGAAGTTGTAAACCTTAGTGACGGAGAGAATTGGAATAATAACGATTACTAGTAATAACTATATATAATCATAGGTGAGGTCATTTTAAAACGAAATTCAGGAACATAAAAGTGAGGTAGTAATTACACTTAGTTCGAAAACTGGTAAAATGAATTGTGTAACAATTGGAGAATTTATGGAAGTTTAAAACTCTGAAAACAGGTGTAGAAAAAAAATAAAGCGATGAAGAGCTGATGATGTGGGATTCGAAATCGATAAGTTGAGTTACGTTATAAGTTGCTTCACTGTGAATCACCCAATCAGTCATAAACTGTAAATAACAGGGATGAAATTAATAACTATACATTTTCTGTTTCTAGGACACACAATGCTTCGCACTTCTGGAATAGGTATTAATAATAATCAAAATGTTAACACAAGCAGTGTTAATTTAGGTTCAACTGATCGAAGTATTATTCTAGTACAACAACCAGTTGCTGGGACTAGTATTCACGTTGGTTCTACAGGTACAATCGTTCCTGGTTCAAGTAGTGGTAGTGGTACCACTTTAGTTCCTTTACGACAATTAGGCGTATCTACTTGTGGCGGCAATGGATTGGTGTCTAGTGCAGGTTCTACTCGTCTTATTGGGTCAAATGTTGGTATTGAGCTGTTTTCAAGTACAGTTGGATCACGATCGTCCCAAGGTCAAGGAGGTTCAATGGGATTGGTAACAATTTCAGCGAATGCAGGTGTATCTGGGTCCTCATCCTCCGGAACTCCTCAGGTATCGTTGTTTTTGTTACCTAAAGTAGCTAACGATATGTTATTATTCTTCTGAATTTGTGATTTTATCCTTCATACATTTTATTTCACAAGCCTGTTCACTGTAATTAATATTGTTTCCATACCATTCGTTTTTGGCTTGTTAGATTTAAAGATTGATGCTTAGCACATAAGCAATTTACATTTTTGTCTCTTAACTGATTAATGTTAATCCCATTTACAGAACAAAGGATTTCTATCACATTTTTCATAAAAATGCAGACGCGCATTCAATATAGGTGATGTTAATATCTTGGTTGTGTTCTCACTTAAACCATATCATTTTATAATTTTCTTCATTCTGTTTCTTCACAATATCGTCATTTAACTTTGTGTAGCGTACGTGTTGAAGCTGCGTTGTATCAAGTCTTTTGTGTGTTATAGAATAAATAATATCTATAAAAATGATATCGCCTCAAATTTTAATCTGTATTGAACAATTCAGTCGTTTTACATCCATTACTGATTATCGCTAATTCAAACACGAGTTTTGTATAAGTTGCACATTGGTCTCCATAATATTCAGTTTTATTCTGCGCAGTGTGGTCAGTTCTTGTTTTAACAAAATACCTGTTTTATTATACCTGAACCTCCTCCTTTCAACATTCTCTTCTGGTTAATGTTTTCAGCGTGAGTCAACTTGGCAGCAATATGTCAAACAGTTCACGAAACTGGGTCCCTGTCCAATCTGTGGGGATAAAATCTCTGGTTATCATTATGGGATATTTTGTTGTGAATCCTGCAAAGGCTTCTTCAAACGGACTGTTCAAAATGCTAAAAGATATGCCTGTCATCGCCCTAATGCTTCTTCTCGATGTGAAATAAATGTAGCTTCACGCAAGAAATGTCCAGCTTGTCGCTTTCTAAAATGTGTAGATAAAGGAATGCGTATTGAAGGTAGGTAATCTTGGTCTGTGAACTATGTAGGTCTAAAGTAGATTAAGGTTGCCTAATTACCATACAATATATCTTTGCCAGAGCATTTTACTACTAATCGTTTTTGGTTTTTACCATAATATCTATTTATGGCACGTACATTGACTGATCTACTTTCATAGACCCTTTATAAACTATACTTCATCTAACGTTTCAGCGATGGATCATTCTGATGACTTATCTATCGACATAGTTGTATTTGTTGAGGACACTGGCAAAATGTATCTATTGAATGCCTTGCATGCGTTATCTCCTAAATGTAAAATGTTGTTCGACGACTGTTCAGCCTCAACATGTAAATTAATGTAAGAGATGAATTATTTGAACGCGTCAGTCTGGTAAGATTGTGAATCTTTATCAACGGAGTTGGTTAAGAAATAAATTACTTACTCCCAAAAACTTACCATGACGCTCGGTGTTGGCTAGTGTAGTAGGCGTAAGTTGACAGAAAGCTAGGGGCAGTCAAAGCAAAATGTTGATTCAATCCATGAATTCATTGACTGTTGATCTGAGTCATTTTAGTGGATTCATCTACCTAGTTAGGGTCTGCGAGATAGTCTCGACCAGTGGTTGGAGCCGTTGTGTGAAATGGCTCAGAATCGGTCCTAGTGAATCAATCATTATATTCAGTTCTGATATTCTTTCGTGTAAACGTTTTCATTCTCAAGCTATAATGTGATTGTTTGACCTTCCTCATCATTATTGGTATCATGACTATTCCGACTGCCCCACAATTAATCTAGCTCTTGTCGTTTTTTCCAACCGTTGTATACAGCTTGGTAAAACGCATACTTTTTCCCGGTCCTATGATGATTAGAGCTGACTACTTGATATATTAACAGTCAATATGTTCTGTAAGGTTAATCTTTTCTCTCGGGAGTCTTTGGTTCGATACTCGTAATGTAATGCAGATAGGGCTATTGTACAGTGTAGCCCTCCCTTAATAAGTAAACATATCTTTCCTATTTCTAAAGATGTCGATAGTTGGAAACGTTGAACGAGCTTTAATTATCCATACCAAACTTCATGTAGTTACTGAATGGTTATAACAAATATAATTCTATAAATCATGTTAGTGATCACCGTGAAATTTCCATCCTTTCTTATAGATTGGAACGTTTAGTGAACTAGGTTTAAATAAGTTTAACTCTCAAACTATAACTAAGAATTCAGTTTAGTTGATAATCATAGACTACCACTCTCAAACACTTCAACAGTTAACTTATTGGAGCTGACTACTTTATAGACCTGGATTTGATAGTATAGTTTTCAACATCGTAATGATATGAATAAATATCAACTGCAGGGTAGTTGGAAGTCAGTCTAGCTGCTCTTCAAAACCCTCCACCAATCTTCTTAGTATCCTAGTCTGAATGTTACACAAAAAGCTTACCTTTCAAAACGTAGTTCAAATATTTATTAATTCAAATGAAGGTATCAAGGTTTTGTATCTTTCTTGCTTTCTACTGAATTTTGTCAACCAACTTATTGTAACAAACTACGTATCATACCAAACTACTTCAGTATAAAGACTTCCATTCTACTTTCAAGTCCTTAGCTAGTTCTTCCCTGAATGTACTTTTGACATAATAATTTTTTAGATAAACTCAAGTCTTCCTGTAAGGCAAATACATTCGTGTTCACAAGAAAACATTGTCAAAGTCCAAAATATGTTCTGATGTGGGCGATAATTCTTTATTGATTCGATACGACGATATCTGTATGACTTACGTCCAATTTTTAATTAATGTTGAAAGTCACTAGATCAGTGTTTTTCTCTTTCCAAATATGGTACTCCCTATAAATAAATGGTTGATAATTAGTAAGGTAAATTGAAGTAATGTTAACAGTGTGCGGGTAATTAGTACTTCCTGGCTAAACCGCATTACAGAATGATCTTTTCTCTTGATAAGCCTGGAAAAGGAACTGAATTAGTGTTCATAGTCTCATCATCTTAGAGGCGTGACAGAGCAGTTCAATATATAGCTGTTTGAATTCTCTCAAATACAAACTTTTTCAGAATATTTACTGTCCGTTAGTGTTCACCCTATAAATTTTAACCTTTACTCTGGGCATCGGAAATTAATAGATCAATGTCCTACTTTCTTTGATTCAACTTTTTCTGAGACAACAAAACTATCAGACGTACTTGTTGGCTGTGATAGACGCCTTACTACTATCAAATCTACTGTACAGTCATTATTGAGGCACCATCACGAGACCTAAAATTTACTGATTTTGTTCATATCACTTACCAACTAACTTATCATAGTCAATATAGTTCAACTGAACTATCAAAACCACTGCGTCAAGGTAACAGCTACAATTGTATGTCGACTCAAACTATTCCTAATACCAGATGTTGTAAGTTCTTTATCCAAGATGTTCAAGAGTTTGTAATCTAATTTTCCTACATGTAAAATAGTAAAGTATTTGCTTATTTTCGGTGTATCTAAAGATATTAACATTCAGTATGCTAGATAACTTTTCGCTTTGTAAATCATGAATTCCTCGCATAGCTATTCGTTCGGATCGTACACGTGGTGGACGTAGCATGTACCCTGGTTCACGTTATCTGCGTCAGATTGCAGCACGGGTTAGTGGGACTCACTCTGCTCCTGGTCTGGGCCTCTCTAATTCAGCTATGGAATTTTCAACTTCAGATCTCGATGGGAGTATGCTACGTGGATTGACGGACCAAAGTATTATGTCAGATGATGCGGACCAACTTTCTTGCTCTGTTGTCGGACTTGCTGCGCATACTTTAGGCCCTGATGGTTTGCCAGCTTCAGAAGACGCGGGTGGTGGTGTTTATCTGGATCCTGGTGTTCTCGGTACTCATGATAATGATGATGAAGAAATAGATTCCGGTAGTCTACGTGTTGAACCAAACATTTTAGAATGTGGAAGCGGAATTGTCGGTGGTACTAATTTCTCAACAAATGTTTCGCCGTATTTAGGTAGACAGGTAATTATCGGTGGTTCAAACGAGTCGATTCCACGTACTAGAGAACAACTACCAAAGGTAGATTTCTGTTTTGCCTTTATATGCTATTTGTTCTATTACTTGAAGACAATCACATTATTTTGTTGTATCTGAGTTGGGCCAATCGTCATTTGTTGCTGCATTGTGTCACTAGCTCTATCACAATTTCATACCATTAGTTTTGTCATAGATATCTTTTGTATGAATTCCTGCGTTGATGCTGTTAGCCACACAGTTAAGTGATTGAGGGTAGTTGACTCTCAGGCCTTGAAACTGGGTTCCCTCGAGATTTTAGGTATTGCTTGCTGATGAATATTAGCTAGGTCCAGGGCTCTCTGTCGGCTCCTTCCAACCACCTAACAAAGCCATCACTAGTATCATTTTTTTTTCAACCAAAAATCCTCTCTTCAAAGCGTAAAATAGATCATATCGTACAATAATGAAGATGCTAATAAAAACAATGTGTTAGGGGAATAACAGATAGTTATTAAGATGTCGTTTGTTTCTGTTACCACGGGTTGCTTCAGAAGACCATAATTTGTATTATAAGTGACTCATTTTATATTTCCTATGTACCCTAGATTATTCGGGATATTCTCCTTGTGGAAGAGACCATAGAAGCGGAACCCGAAGATTCACTAGAAATCGATGCTGCGGTTGCATCAGAAACTGCAGCACCTGAGGGGGTCTCAGATGACGAGGCAGCTGTGTACCGCGCACTGTTGAATTTGGCAGACCAACGTTTATATCGAACAGTACGTTGGTCTCGAGCACTTCCAGACTTTTCTATACTCGACACGGATGATCAAATACTTTTAATACAAAATTGTTGGGCAGACTTACTGTGTCTTGATTGTTGCTGGCGCTCTTTGCCCACTCCTTCGGTAAGTATTTAAATTTCTTTGTGTGTGTTTATCGTCAATCATTGATTGTATGTCTTATGATACCACTGCAAATCCCATTCGATTGACTGGTTATTTGGCTTTCGTAGCATTACACTTCAGTAATGCAGTCATAATGAATATGTAAGGTAACATAAACAGAGTTATTATTTGATAAGTTCTCAGGTTAAATAGTTCAATTCATTTTATAATATACTAAAAATGATAACTATTTTCGTGAAGTGGTTTTACTAGATGTTTGTTTGGTGTAATACATCTTGAATTAAAACAGGATTCACTATGTTACATTCGATCTATCAGAAGATATTTACCAAACACAACTTACTTGACTAGAGGGCTTAAACATTTTGGTACAATTCTTAAATAATTACTTGTTTATGTATGTTGTTGCTTTATTATTTATTTTTAAGATTTAAAATATCGGAAAAATTTGTGTATTTGTAGGGTGGAATTACTCACACTTTCACAAAACTCATTATTTTGTATCAATGTGCTCATTTTTTTCACTGTCTTTTGGTTTGTATAAAATATTTTCTCTCTCTTGTTGGTTTTCCTTTAAACAACTGAACTGTTTTGAAGCAACTTAATTTCCCGGATCGATAAATTTTTGGACAAATTAGAAAAAATATTCTTATCCTAACGGTTAGCAATCGGTTTTGAGTACTCGATTCTATATTATGATTTCAAAAGGAAAAAAAACACTTCAATAGTTTAGATGAACAGCCATTTAACACACATTTTCGTCGTTCCTTTCAAAATATTAATTACTTTAACAATTTGAACATATTTTATTTATTTAATCTAGTAGACCGTACGAGTATTGTGTCAACTGTGATTTTAATGTTATCAATGTAGCCTATTATTATTCTATAAATAAATGTATTATTCCTAGGAAATTCGTCTAACCTCAAGTAAATGTATCAATCTTGAAGCTGCACGTGAAATGGGTGCTGAAGAAATAGTTGAGAGAATTTTACAACTCACTCAATCTTTAACAAGATTACAACTGGATATTGTGGAATATGCTTGTTTAAAGGTCATTGTCCTAATGCAACCAGGTGGGTTCTTTTTTTATTCTACTTTCAAAATAATGGAATGTAAATCAATCTTGTTTTTTTTCTTTTTGGAACCTAATGATATAGTAGGCTCATTGAATGAAATCTTTTAGCAATTCACATTTGTATTCACTTCGAAAGGTTCTTAATTTGATCGAATTTCTATCGATAATTCTTCATTTTGTGTAGTTTCAACTTAATCGAAAGAAAGACTTATTTTTCCTATTCAGTTGTTTTAGTTATCTCAACAATGTTAGATTAGAAGGCTGTCCAAGGTTAATCTTATGTGTTGAAATTGTGGAAGATATTATCTAGTATATATGATGTAATGTTATATGCAACGGCTGACATTTCAACTACCGTTTGTAATGTTGCATTTTCTAAACTGAGTAGAAGAGATCAATCAGTCGTTTATTTTGGGACGGACGGTACAAAATATTGAACAATAATGTAATGACACAAAGATTCGAAAAAACCTGTGAAGGTAATCATTCACAAATAATGTTATTAAAACGCATTAATCTAATACTTGTAGGATGACTTCAGAAAGACTTAATTCAGCATGAAGTATACAATTTTCGGTATTTTCTAGAACAACTGTGGAGGCTTTCTAATTTAACTATTCAGCTCAAAGAACGCGACATTATTAATATATATACTAATCAACTATTTAAGGCGGTCTGGAATGCTGCTGGAAGGTACGACGGCGATTTTCGCTTTACAGATGCTCATATTGCAGAACCATGAGTTTTGTAGGCCATGAAAAGGAAACTGCATTAGTAGTGGTCTTGAAGGTGTGGAGGCATGACCAAAAAACCTAAGGGATAACTGTTTAGGGCCGGTCACATACGGCATTATTGCGAGTTTTTAATAATATTAACTCGTAGTTCAAAAGCCCTACTTCCAGATATAGAAATCTGTGGAGCTATGTGAGCTGTGACCTTTTTGTAGTCCATGTTTTCTATTCATTCTTTCCTTTGTGACAAAGTGACATCGCTGGAAGTACTGGTTATCTGAGGAATAAACTATCATTACTTTCAAGTACGATCAACAGTATGACTTCGTCCTGAGGCCTTAAGTTGCTATCTATAGTCTTCCTGAATGGTAGGACTTTAAGGAATAAATGTTACAACTAATATTGCTCGATTGTTCGTCATGATAGGCAAGCACGATCACCACGTCAAGGTAGTATCCATGTTCATGATTTGACTCGACAGTTTTATCTCGCTGTGCTAACATGGTGTACTAACGTAAACCAAAGCATGTGAATCCCAGTTTCCATATGATGGCTTGATAAACTATACTGATGTCAACCTCTTCAGATAAAATTTATTGACGACTCTTCCGTGACACATCTCATGCTTAAAGGAAAAATATCGGACGAACATTTCTGAAGAAAGTATGAACTCTATTTAATAAGAAACTATAACTGATTACGATGTACACTGAGAATATTTAGCCTATTACAACAATGGGTAAGCAAATAACGTTTAGATTAACATTACAGCCAGTTTATAACCACTAAATTCCTGTTAAAACAATTATAGATTGATTATAATGCAAAATTATCTAACGGTTATGTTATAAGCACAAATAAATAGCGATTAGTGATTTTAGACAAGTGTAGTTTAATAATTTGAACTTTAATGATAGAAGTGTACATTATTTCTAAGTTAAGCGTTTCTGATATGCTAACTGGTTTACAACTAAACATATATTTTGACTATTTTGAAAAATCAGATTTGAATAATTTAAAAGCAAGTTCTCAAGTTCGATCCTATCAAGAATCTGTTCGACGATTACTAATGGATTATGTCACCAAGTCATCACCTGATATAAATGATAAGTTTAACAAATTGATCAATCGAATTCCTGAACTACGCAAAACAAGTCAGGCTGCTCGTTTGATGCTTGTTGATTTGGATCTGTCTTCTTATTTATCAACTAATTCTCTTCTAATGGAACTTTTACGCAGTGATATTCAACGATATACACCAAATAATGGATCACACAATTCGACAGAATCTACAACAGCAGTATCAATGCAAGGTTCTACCAATTCCGGTATAAAAACTGTCTCAGTCACTTTAGGGGCTGACACTGCAGAAAATCAAGGGGAGAATACTACAGTTACAATGGTCCCATCATCAGGCGTTACTGATTTATTATCATTACCTAATCATACTACAATTACAACAGTAACAGAGAGTAGACTAGATGAAACGATCACCAGTAATAGTAATACTTCACTGACTACTTCTGAAGTTGATGTTATTTCTAAATAGTTCAACTTTTTTTATGAATATTTGTTATTATTATTATTATTATTATTGTAATGATTATTAGCTGCCCATGAATATTTGATTTATACATTGTACTCGTTTTCCCACTGTTTCACGCGCCACATTTGTATAAATGGCACTTACAATGTTATTTCTAATATCTTCGTTAGTATACATGCCAGCACAGATTTTACTGTAAATACTTTCCATTTTGGTAAATAACTAATTTTCCAAATATTACTCGCTGTTTTTACTTGTTTTCGGGAACTTTGTGAATAGTTGAGGTTTTCACAACCATCTCTGTCAAAGTTGTTTAGGCGCTCTTTTACGCAGGCATATGTATGTGTTCTTAATACACAGATTTTCCTTCATTATTTCCCTCTAATCCCGGTTATCTGTTGTATTCTGTGCACCATTACATCTAATATGTGTACATATATAGATATATTACTGATGTTTATGTCAGTAGCTTAACTCTTTGTTCTTTTTTTAACCACATGTTTCGCATATATAATTTTCTTTTCAATATATACATATTACCATCACTAACAATCAGCACATATAAGTATGTCGCACTTATCGCTAAATGTAACTATATTCACACTGTTAAATATTGTGGTCAATTTACTATACGTTTAGGAACAACTTTATCAAGGAAGAAATGTTATTCGTTCTATTTTTCATTTTTAATAGCAGATTAGTTTTTCTGCGTTTTCATCTTCCGTTTCTTTTTATGCATATATATATATATATATATATATATATATATATATATATATATATATATATATATATATATAATTTGTTGATATTTTATCTAGAAAGATTATTTATCTATACTAATACGATTTGTTAATTGGTAAATGCACTTCTCATTATTATAACTTGTCATTCTGTTTGCTATATTCTCTCCCGTGCTGTTGTAGAGGTTCAAATAACGGATACCTCTATATGGTTATCATCTAATGTAGTTGTTGGATGGTATTCACAAAGTCACTTAGTCTGTGACATTAACTTGCGAGTGTTGAAAGTAATAATGAGTGTATGCATCCTGTCCTGTTGTTTTACCTCATTGGTGTAAAACGTAGTTTTTAATAATACAGATTTTTAGGTTACTAGAATTTGATCAATGATGTCTCACAACCGTTACTCGTATTTGTTGGGACCGTCAAATGAGTAGTCCTGAAATAAGACAAATGTTATTAGGTAAATATGGTCAATCAGACGACGAGCTAGCGGATTTCCACCAATTGAGACATTTATTTTGGATGCCCAATAATCGCTTGACTGGATGCGCGACATTTGATGTTGTAGAAGTAGGATGGACAAAAGCTAGGACCGTATAGACCATGATGCGGTATTAGTTCATGAAATGATTGGTTGGTGGATTGAGCTACGTTATTAGGTTTAAATTACTTGGTTGGGATGGACGCAGTTGTTGAAACAAATGATTGGATACAATATGTGACGTCTCAAAATCGGCTGCGATGACATGCATTTACATTTTGTCTTCCCTCAGAGTTCTGAAGCTATCTTATACTTCATTTCTGCTCCACGAATTCGTTCTTGAATCATTTTATATGTCAAATCTTTTCTAGTACTAGTATTGGTACGGAATTTACTGCTACTGAGATTTGTCCGAATAATTTCATCTTGTTGCGAAGATATGACGTAGTGATTTAAAAATTGTGCATGACTCACTGGTTGACTTGTTTTGTTGTTGAGCTATTTACAGAATTGAGTGCTGAAGAGTTCCGACTTTCTACCCTTATCTTAACCAATTTTTATGAACTTGCTAATAAGCGACTTAATATAAAGTCTTCACTTCCTTGTATCTGCTGATTATCCGTTATTATGAATAGAGACATCAACTGGAGATATTTTCATGTCAATATTTTCGCTTCGTTTTGGACACCGCTTTGTTAATCATACAAAATTGTAAACAACCTTCGAGTATCACGGCTAGCGCAATACTATTTCTAAGTAAGAATCCAGTTACGTTCTACAAAATCATTGAATTTTGCTTGAGATAGCTTTCTACATTAGAAAAAGTATATTTTGTGTTCAGCCACCTGTCAAATTGTACCCTCCATATATTTCATGAATAAATCCTGCGTGAAAGATCTCAGTAGCATGCAACGTTCATGGGACATTTTCTAATTTAGTAATGTGGTTAGTCATAATCCAACCTCATTTAATTCATAATATGGGGTGATCATTATTTAATTCTACTGTATTCTGACTCAGTACTTACCGAAGAATGACTATTCATTGTGAGGTTAGTGTACATAATGGAGTTTCAAAGCTGGGGTAAGAATTATAGTCTTGTTATTTTCCATTTCTGTTGATGTCATTCCTAGATTGAAGCTATTTTCAAATTCGCTCTAGGTGTTACATTATTAGTACTAAAATAATTAGTATGTCGAAAATGAATAAGTGAAAAAACAGTCAGTGTATCTTAATTCCATTTTATTTTGTAAATAAAATGAGTGATAATATCACTTTCCTAAATTCCAACATCATTTATCAGTTCTCAACTATTTCGGTTTACTTTAGTACTCTTGTTCAGTATGAAATTAAGCAGTCACTTGAACTCTTCCTCGAATTCATTATATGATAATTCTTGGTTTATATAAATTCAATCAGGTCAGTCATAAGTAGTGTAGAACCGGGAACACTTGTGGATCTGTTCAAGTTAGTCTACTCACCGAGATAAAATTATTAAGACAGATAGCAGAGTAATAGAATCGTTAGTATTATTAAAGATCATAAAATCCCATTTGACGCAGAGAATATATTTGGAGCAGAAAGAAAGTATCCATGATAAGAAGAACGTATAAAAAATTTCTAGAACTCTATCTAAAATAAAGAGTGAATGTATCTATCATGCTGAGACTACTTCTGAGCCATACCACTCAAATTCTCCAACCAAAGGTTACGATAATCAGCCCTATTTAAGCCTCATAACTGTTGAGGCCAGTTTCCCCCGTTCCGTACTGGTCAAAGTGATTCCTCTGTGGTTATTACAAGAGGATTTCTATCCTTTCTCATAAACTGGGACCAGCAGCTAACCAAACAAATCAGATTGGTTTACGTGCAGTTTCCAAACTTTAGCTAATACCTCAGTCTAATTACTAAAACCTGGCCATCATTACTGAAGGTCCTCAAAATTCATTCTTCAAGTCCTGTTCTTACTCACTCTAGATTGGCTCTGAAATTTCCAACTTTGTTAAGAGTCATTGTGAAGGGCTTATTTCCATCTCCCATTCTGGTAGTCCTGGAATAGTAAATAACTGAAGATCTACAAAACATTTGAACTATTCTCCAATTAATCCAATCGTCTAAGATGAGTTTTCTTGCATCTATTAGATCAGTAGTCGCCACCGAAACTGACAAATATTTCCTAGCATTTGAGTTTGGTTAACTTGTAGATATCATTGTTTTTTCACAGTCATTTGGATATCATGTCCTTCTACTTTGGTGTGAACATCACTTTTACGATTGATTGACTGTTTCTCTAGTTTCTCCAAAAATATACTCTTGAATTATTCGTCACTAGGCTGGACTTTAAGAGTTCTTCCTAATGTGGTTGTCGGAATGACGTGTAACTCCTACTGAGTTTCTCCAACGCATGCCTTTGACGATACAAATTTAAAAACCATTTAACTAACAGAAATCCTTAAGATATTATTGGGAACATAACTGATCAGTATACTCTTGAATAATAAGAGGGGGAAAGTTTGGTGGCATCATAATGCCTTAAATCAGTGTCCATCAATGAATACTAAACTAAGCGTAAATTTCTAATGACTGAAAGAAAGTTTCAGTGCAAAATGTATACAGGATTAGTACTAAATTTCTTGTCATTCACTTCAATGATCTCGTAAGGTTGTTCATTCATGAAATTCTTTGTTCACTTTTATCGCATATATATATTATACAGACAAAAATATCCTACTATTTAGTGAGTTACTATTTAAACAAACTTAATCATTGACGTATGAATAAAAGACATAGTTAAGCATATATCTTGGAAATTCAACAGTATTTTGAATAGGCCACATCAGACTTATTTTTACCAAGCAGCTACGTTTATACTACTTAAAAGTAGCTTGTCTTCAGAGCATAAAATTTCTGGAGTTTCTGTAATGAATCTACTAATTAATCTAAACAGACATGATGTGTGTAATAAAGTTAATTCGAGAATGTTTACTCTCAAAATTAAGCATTTGAGATCTCACAGTTCTGACTACAAGAATTTTTTAGGTCAAATAAAATCAGGACATTATCACTGAGATGAAGAAATGAAATACATCGACAATAAATTAAACTGTGAACATGAATTTTTTTAAAAAAAACCATTGCTTAGTTCTACCACACAAGTCTTGAAAACGTTTAATAAGTGAGAATTTTTAGAAAGTAATATGACAATTTCCTTATCCTACTCGATTTCGTTACAAATTAAAAATTTGTTTTTCATACTAATCAACTAACATTGTAATCATTATACCTTACTACAAAGACGTTGGAGATTCCAGTGATAAACTATAGCTTACCTTTTGCATATATTTAAAACAAGAGCCAGGTAGGAAACTTTAATCAAAGATAAGGAACTATCCGCTTATTCTAATAGTTAATATTCTGATTCCTTTTAGTAAATATTTCTCACTAATGTTTATCGAATTTTTCTTGTTAAAAAATAAATTTTATTCACAATAATCTCTGGATCATAATTTTCTTTTTCTTCATTTCCAAGTAAACGTTTTTCACTTAAATTTGTTTATATAATATGATATTGATGTCACTATGAATGAAACCTCTTTCCCATAACACCATGGGACTTTTAGAACGTTTTATTCATATTACTTTGAAGCCTTCGTTGACTATCGATAAGGTAATATAGATTTCTTTAAGCTTTTAAAGAAAGATTCCAAAGCCTACGGCTTCTTAATTTATTCGTATGTGTAGCTATATGACATTTAAATAACCTGGTTCAATATATA